AGATGTCTTTATCAAATAATTGTCATTTTTTCAAAACACAAAACAAAATTTTATTTTTTATTGTTTTGTATATTTCATGATATATTTCATATTTTATTTTTTCCATTATTTGACCCAATTTATAAAAAAAATTGGAAAAAATAAAACGAAATATTGAAAAATAAACTATATAAAATAATTAAAATATAAAAAATCAAAACAAAAACGGCTAAATTACTTTCAAAAAAATTTTTAATACGAAGTTTCTCAAAATTTAATTTCCAGATTGCATTTTTACAAATTTTTATTTTACTAACAGTGTATTTTGCATCATCATGTTGCTCTTTCAAATAAAATCCACACAGTTGTGGCTGTAAGTTGACAAAATAGAGAATCTAAAACTAATATGATTTGCTCTGCAACATAGTGTACTTTAATATGTTGAAATATATAATGGCTTTTTAAATGGCGTGAGTGAAAATCATTTTTAAAAAAGCTCAAACATAAAAATAGTTCTATAAAAATTAAATCTTAACAAAAGTCTGCAGAAATGCTGCTGTTTGTTAATTTGTGCAAAGACTGAGTGTAAAGTGAAATCGCTCCACATTAACCAGCTTAGTGCCAACAGATCCTTTCATCTCCCTTCGCTCAGCGGTCGCCGGGTCGCTGAAGCCCCTCATCTCATCCACTACTCCTCATGTCCTAGAGAGGCGTCACAGACTCTTCCCTCTGCTCAACCATCTGCTCCCTCACCATGAACATCTCAAATAAAACCCTCAGCACTGCCACCACCAGGCAGCCCCACAGACCTCTTTATAGTCCTTCCATCTGGACAGCAACACGATCCCTTGATCTGCTAGGAAGCTGATTTTAGAAGGTTCCTCTTAACCTCTGTCCCTCCGACTCTGGAGGAGAGCTGTGTGATGTCACAGATCTAAAAGCACCATCAGCAGCCGCCAGGATCATCCTAAAATATCATCGGACTCTTGCAATATTCAGAGTTACCGTCTGTAGATTGATTCTTACCTCACAGTTCCTTAAGCTGCTTTATAAAATTGAAAACCTTTCAGGTAATCCTTTGTGGTGAGGAAACGCATTCCCACTCTGAAAGAATTCAATTCGTCCGACTAACCTGACAGTTGGGTATAAGTAAATATGACTGACTCCATTGTTTTACCTTTTTTCTGATGTTTTAATTGGTGTTTGAACAGCTGTACAGACTTCTTTTATAATTGTTGCCTTTTTATGTCACTTTCAAAAGCTTTTGCTTTGATAAACCACAAAAATACTTTGAGCTTTTATACATTCAAAGGGTTATTTAATGCATGTATGTGAGTGGCAGTTTCCATTAGTTTTTTTTCTCTCCATCAGACAGCCCATTAAGATGAAAGCTACTTTAGCAAGAGAGAAATGTTTTTGACAGATTTCTGTATGACAACACCATTTTTTGAAATGTAGATTGATTCTCCTCTTTAAATGCTTTCTTTATTTCTGCATCAGCATTTTGAATGTCTCTATGACTCCTATGTAGTCAGACCTGCAGGAGGATCAGGAATTCAGCCTCATAAAGCATTATGTTTACTGTCAATTCTCAAATATGTATTAACTTTGGTGCATGAAAAACATAGTGAATCGTGATATTTTTTGGCATTTATTTAAAGGTGACAAATGCAGTAATAACAGTACAACAGAGGAGCAGCCCCTTGAAAATACTTCCAGTTATTTCATTCAGTATTTATTAGTCAATATTTTAATAATTTGTTTTTAAATGTCAAGGAATTAATTTACTGTTTCTCATCATGGTAGTTTTATCTGGTCTGTCTGGCTGTGACTTCGTCCTTGAAAGAAATATCAGCTGGGCTGCAGCCATCTACACCTTAAGATCATGGATGATAGAGTTGGGTCTGTTTTTCAGTGATTAGTCCTGTTTCTCTCACAGACATAGGCATGGGCTCGGCTTTTACTCTGTCTAACTTTATGTTCTCTCTTTTAAACCATTGACATGAAAACTGGTTTAGATCTTATCTGCTCAGCTGATTGTTTCTTAGTTAGAGTCTTCTGTGGAGCTAGTTTACTGCCAGTTTACCGTTATTATTATTTTTTTCCCTTTTTTGAGTTTTTACAACACTAGTGGCTCGTTTTATGGACATTAGGCTGACAGGAAAGGGTGGGAAAGGACCACAGGCCGGATTCAAATCCGGGTCGCCTGCACGGAGGACTAAGGCCTCCATACATGGGTCATGTGTGCTAACCACTGCGCCAACAAAGCGCACCCTACTGTTGGCTATTCTAAGTTATAAAGTCTAGTTTTGTCCCCTTCAATAAACTGTCTTCCTCAGCAGATGGCAGATGGCAGCTCACACTGACTTTGGTGGAGGTTTCTTCCCTTTAAAAGGGAGTTTTTCCTCTCCACTGTTGCTGCATGCATGCTGAGTGTGAAGGACTGCTACACAGTCAACAACTCGAGGGAATCGGCCGATTGTTTTTAAAATAGTCCCCAATGGTACTGCATTGTCTCTGTAAAGTTCCTAGAGATTATTTGTGAATTTGTGAACATCTTGTTGCCATGGCGGCGCTCCAAAGCAGCGGCCAAGAACGGCTCCTCTCGACAATCTTGATCGTTTAACAAAATATGCCGCTTAATACGATACAGACTAGACATCAAACCTGCATCTATGATCGCCAACGCCTGCTTGAGCTATGGTCACAAAATGTTTTAAATCCAGACATTTGTGACCGTTTAAAAAGCTGCAAAGCGCTACGGACGGATGTAAACAAAACAACAGCGCAACATAATGGTAGGAGGAAGGGATGTGCGAGACGGAGAAAGCGAAGATGCAGAGGGGGGCTAACTGCAAAGCTGAAGAGAAATCCACACAGACCTCCGCTTCCATCAGTCCTGCTCTCCAACGTCCGCTCATTCGATAACAAAATGGTTTGAGGCACTAAACAGCACTCCAGCAGTGAAAGCTGTTTCACACCAGGGGGAGGAGGCACTAAACCTGGACGTAGCTGAAGTGAGGAAAACTCTGAGGAGAGTCAACCCAAGGAAGGTCCCAGGGCCTGATAACATACCTGGGCGACATTTTTAACACCTCGCCGGACCAATCCAAAGTGCCAGCATGCTTCAAGTCTGCCACCATTATTCCGGTCCCAAAGAGGCCTCAGGTCACCTCACTCAATGATTACCGTCCTGTCTCACTGACTCCAATCATGATGAAGTGCTTTGATAGGCTGGTTAAAGAACACATCGTCTCCAGTCTGCCGCCAACATTCGACCCATTCCAGTTTGCCTAACGACGCCACCGCCCCACTGAGGACGCCATCTCTGCTGCTCTCCACCTGAGTCTGGCGCACCTGGAGGAGAAGAACACTCAGGTGCAGATGCTGATCCTGGACTTGAGTTCAGCTTTCAACACCATCATCCCACAGCATCTGATGGGCAAACTGGAACAGCTGGGATCCAATGCACCCCTCTGCTATTGGCTGCTAGACTTCCTCAGCAGCAGACCTCAGTCAGTCCGGGTTGGATAGAACACCTCTGATGTCATCATTTTAAGCACAGGCCCCCCTCAGGGCTGCGTCCTGAGCCCCCTGCTGTTCACCCTGATGACACATGACTGCGTCCCCAGGTTCACCACCAATCACATCGTGAAGTTTGCAGACGACGCCACGGTGGTGGACCTCATCAGGGCTTCAGCTCTAACTAACTCCATGAATATGCTGTTATTTTTTGTTCCGTCTACGGCCGAATCTCCTCCTCTAATACCTTGCATGCCTTCCTATGTGGAAACATGGAGTGACTGTTTTTCTCCTGATTAGATACCTTTTGAGTTTGAACACTGCTTTAAATCTGTTCCTCAGTTAAAAAGAAAATATTTTCCATGTATTTAACCATTAGGAAGGTAGATATGGCTGCAGGAGTATAAAAAAATGGGAATGTTCCTGATTTATTGCTTAATCCCACTGTTAGAATGTTGCCTGCCTGTGCTCGCTTCCTTGTATCTTCCCTTTTTCCTTCCCTCTGACCTCACCACCATAAATCCTCCCTTCCTTTCCCGATAACCCGTCTTTCTTGGTTGCTTCCCCCTCCTTTCATTTCCGTTCCTTTATTTGCCTTCCCTCTTTCTGTAATTACTGACCTACTTAATTCCTTTAAGTAAACAAAAATTGAAAATAAACAAAGAGGTCATGAAAACTGGATCAGGCTCTGTTGTGTAGAAATAATAATCAGTAGGGACCCTGCTGTTAGTATTTTCCAATCACAGCAGATCATAAGTGCCTGTAATGGATAATAGTTGCATTATGCAATAAGATGATGATTCAGCATTATGTCGACTGCAAAGGCCTTTGCTGCATGTAAACACAAACAGGGATAAATAGAGAACTAATCTAACTGTGGAGAATCTGCTTCCTTCCAGCTTTCTTCTGGAACGACTTGTTGCTCTTTGACAGAGATGCATTTTAAATTCTCATTATCTCAGTGTTTGTCCTCTTCTCCCTCTACCCCTGCGTCGGTCTCCCTAGGCTTGCTTCCTGTTGTTCTCTTGTCATTTTTATTCTCACCTTGCTTAAATGGCTCCTACATTCATGCTTCATGATTTCCTGAGCTCTTTGGCGCAGACCCAGACCTCGCTGTTGGATTCGTTAGTGCTTTTTGGGTAACGAGTGCACTGAAATGATGATCTGTGTGTCTTACCTCCCACGGTGATACTAATCACTGCAGATGGACAGAACTCTACATCTCGTCAGATTGTAGGCACTCCTTCCCATCTGCCTGCAGAATAATTAATTCAACCTCTGAAACTTTAACTGCATTTTTATTACTCTGTTGAGGATTTTGAGGGAAACATCTGGAATCATTGGAAACTAAGACGCTTTCAGCATCTGAAAGCTTTTTATCCTTCTTTAAAACCTCAATCTTCAGCTGAATAGAAGCCAGATAAATACAGTGGGGTTATATATCTATGACACACAAAGGCCTGCAAAAGTTAAATTGTATTTTTCTGTGTTTTTTTTAGGGAGTATAAAAGGTGCAACAATAGTGGACGCTCTGGACACCCTCTATGTCATGGAGATGTTTGAAGAGTTTGATGCTGCTACAGAATGGGTAGAGAAAAACCTGGACTTCAATGTGGTAAGTTTGGCTTGTGTGCATGAATGTGTGTAAAGTCAGAAGTTTAGAAGCCATTAAAAGAGTCCAAAATCCTTTACTCTGTAGATTTATCTTTTTATTTATTTTATTTGAATTATGTTATTTAGCCTTTAAAGCAAATAAAAGAAACACCAGTTAATCAGTGGCCAAATAATTTAACTTTTATTGACTCTTATTCAACCTTCACAAATTAACCAAAGCGGTTTTGCTCAGCAGAACATGGAGTTACAATATCTTAAAGGTATAGTGGAGGATGTTCTTTTTGTGGGTGGATCATCAAAATAAGTGGTACTTCTAATTGTCAATCATTCTGGTGATCTGTTTATGTAAGGCCGTCCTACGTGCTTGTCCCCATTTTCACTTACTGAAAGTGAAAGAGTCTGACATAGTGGAAAAATTGCAAATCTTCTTTTGTAAAGTGAGCTCATATGCAAACTGTAACTTTTAAACAGAGCGTGCACGAGGAGAAATGGGCTCGTGCACGCTCTGGCGCACATTTAAAGGAGAATTCCGGTTTTTAACACTTTTAGCCCATTTTCTGTAGTGTCCAGGATGAAATCGAATGATTGACACCAACATTTTGACGATTGGTCCTGTCTCTGCTATTTGGCTCATGCAGAATCCCCCCCTGGCTGCTTCAGAATGGCTTCCATAGTGCATGTCCGATAATGTCCTTAAAACAACCTTAAACG